GAATGAAACAAACAGTGAAGGGTGGTAAATCCCTCCAACTGATGTGGGATTGAGATCCCTGTCTTGAACATCCTTTCCCGGTCATACACAACCGGATGTGGTGGTCTCAGCTTGAGATATCCTTGATAAAGGATAAAAACGTGCATGGGGTAAAAGTTTAGACTTTCAGAGCCTCGTTCTGTTTTTTAAATAGTCTATAAACTTGGTTACACTCAAAATCTTGTTTACAGGCAAAAAGTAGGCTCACCATATATATATATATATATATAAAACTTCAATTTTTTTGTTAGTATGACTGAGATTTTAGTCTAAACGTTACCATCAGACCTGTTCTAATAGTTACAGAAAATAGGAAGTGCTTCTGAAAAATACCCAACACATACTAATAGTAATGCAGTGAAAATAGCTTCATGCAAGCTTCCTAGTTTTTACCTCTTTTCTAGTTTTGTGCTCACCTTTCTTCTGATCCTCTGGTTCCCAAGGCTGATGGTTTCCTTTTGCTGTTGGTGGTGGTGGTGTGGATGTTATAGCAAATTGTCAGCATCTAGGGTCCTTTGGGAAGGATAAGGTGTCCATGTTGATGGTTTGTTCTTTACACTAGGACTCTCTTGGAGTTTCTTTTATTGTTAGCTGATACACTTTCACACCTTTCTCTTTTTGCATTGGTCTGATGTTCCACATTACATGTGATGCTTTGTAAGTGTGCTAGGTATTATTGTTTTGTTTTCTTTGTTAACCCTAAACCCAGCTTTTGGTTCCCCTGCCTGCAGGTCTGCATTTCTCTAACTGTAACAGCTGTGGGGTCTCTGATGCCAAGCCTGTGCTCCATCTTGTCCTCCCCTCCCTTTACTCCTCTATGCCACATCCTGGACCTCTGAGTCTCTCTATCATACCAGGCCTGTACTGTATTGTTCAATTACTGTAATAAAACCATGACAGTACCATACCAAGACAAGAGTAGTAAAGCAAATTGGCCATAGCCCTCTATTTATTTAGAAAAATTGCTTACACTCTACCCTCTAAACCCTTTATAATGTGGGGAACAGGGCAGGGTTTGTTATGCTTCCTTCCAGTGCAATCTAACTCTAGCTTTTTTTCAGTGTCACTTTTGGATTTTAATACAGATGCAGATATGTATTCATAGTTGGCTCATTGGATTATGTTAATTGAAATGAGTGCAACTGCCAAGATGAGTTTACTCTCAGATTGCCTTGTCAATGTAATCGCTGCTGAGTAATGCTTTTATAGACTAATCTACAAAGGGTAACAGTAGGTAGGCTTTGTTTAATGAATAAAATGAAGTTTGATTTTTATTTGGATCTGAATAAAATTCTGCTCTGAAACTGTGTTTTACATTTTTTGCTTACATCACATCTAATTCACATGTAGCGAGGAGAGAGGCAGCTGTGCAATCCAGTGATTTTAGCAGTGGTTGTGATGCTGGGGCTCCTAAACTCTGCTCTGCTATGATCCCACTGTGGGATTGTAAAGGAAATGTCATAACTCTTTATTTTCTCCACTTGAGTTGTAACAATTTATATTTAAAAGTGATGCACATTTTCTAATCATAGAAATGTCTTGGTCTGCTCATTTTTCACTGCTTTAAATAGTTATATTCTGGAATAAAAATAATCCCTGACATGGAATCCCTTTTACATGAAGCCATGTAAAACCAGTTTTACATGGCTTAGTTTGTACAAAGCGAGACAACAGTGAAAGTTGCTGCCTCACATCTCTGTGACAGTTTGTTCTCCTCTGAAATTATTTTTTTCTGAATTCTTATTGTAAAGTCTTAACAAATAATGGGGCGTTAGAAACAAGAACTAGGGATACTGGGTCTAAGTCATTATGGATGCTTAAGTGTTTAATACACAGGAAGCAGATGGTAGGTGAATATTATGTTTTCATAATGAAGGGGAATAATGAGAAAAGTCTACTCTCGTCCAACCTGGCCTTAAAAACCTCCAGGGATGGGGCATCAACAACCTCCCTGGGCAACCCATTCCAGCTCCTCACCACCCTTAGAGTGAAGAATTTCTTCCTCATATCTAACCTAAATCTCCCCTCTCTCAGTTTAAAACCATTACCCCTTGTCCTGTCACTGTCTTCTCTGATGAAAAGCCCCTCCCCAGCTTTCCTGTAGCCCCTTTCAAGTACTGGAAGGTGCTTTAAGGTCTCCCTGGAGCCTTCTCTTCTCCAGGCTGAACAGCCCAACTCTCTCAGCCTGTCTTCATAGCAGAGGTGCTCCAGGCCTTTGATCATCTTGGTGGCCCTTCTCTGGACCCTCTCCAACAGGTCTGGATCTTTCTTGTGCTGAGGGCTCCAGAACTTTACACAGCACTGCAGGTGGGGTCTCACCAGAGCAGAGCAGAGGGGCAGAATCCCCTCCCTGGGCCTGCTGGCCACACTTCTTTTGATGCAGCCCAGGATGCAGTTGCTCTCTGGGCTCCAGCACACACTAGCAGCTCACGTTGAGCTTGTTATCAACTACCACCCCAAGTCCTTCTCCTCAGGACTTCTCTCCAGCCATTCTTCCCCCAGCCTGTGTTTGTGCCTGGGGTTGTGCTGACCCAGGTGCAGGACCTTGCACTTGGCCTTGTTGAACTTCATGAGGTTGGCACTGGCCCAGCTCTCCAGCCTGTCAAGGTCCCTCTGGATGGCATCCCTTCCCTTAGGGTGTCAGCCACACCATACAGCTTGGTATCATCAGCAAACTTGCTGAGGACACACTCAATCCCACTGTCCATGTCTCCAACAAAGATGTTAAACAGCACTGGTCCCAGTACTGACCCCTGAGGGACACTACTCGTCACCTGCCTCCATTTGGACATTGTGTCATATTGTAGGTATGGGTCTGCTGTGTCTGAGCTCACTGTCACATGTAAGCATTTGGGAGAAGAACAGCCATTCTGTTTGTTTGACTAAGGCAGTAGATGCTTAGTTGTATCACCGGTACGCAGTAACAACGATAGTGCTTCTTCATGCTGATAAACTGCTGTCTTTTCTTAGAATCATAGAATCATTTAGCTCAACCCTTAAGATCATCAGGGCCAACTATTAACCCAGTACTGCCAAGTCCACCAGTAAACCAGGTCTGTAAGCACCACATCTACATGTCTTTTAAATATCTCCAGGAATGGTGATTCAACCACCATTATGAAAGTGACTGCCTTTTATTCAAATTACTAATAGACAAAATACTGGTATACTTGGCTTTTGAAACATACCATTACAGCAAACATTAGTAAGCATATGCCACTTTTATTCTGCTTTGGTTAAATTAGTAAACAAGGTCCTTTGAAGGCTTACATTGGGTATGTTCTTGCTTCAGGGCAAAAGTGGACCTTCAGGAGGAAAGGCAGTACCATCAAGACCTACTAAAGGTGTACCTAAAAAACGGGTAAGATTCACATATCTACAAGTCTTTTTTTTTTTTTTCCCCCCTTCATTATCTCTGAGATGCAAACTTGATTCAGTCTGAACAATGGCATATTTTGTGGGTTTGCTAACATTCCAACTGATTTAGCAATAAGGGTTTGCTCTAAATTTCCACTAAGAAGAGGATTACACTAGCACGTTAGAATAAAAATGACAGCTAAAAAAAGGTGCAATTTAGGTAAACTGTAAGAAGAGAAGATTAAAATACAATGTTTTGGATGTAAATTTCCAGGTATAGTCTGAGAAAATTAAAAATATAGCCCATATTCACTTAATTAACATAGAAATACAAGCATTTTCTCTAAAATAACTGCTAGCCTCATGATAGTGTTCTTCTGTTGGGGAAATAAATGCTTACAATATATTTAACCTACCTTCCTCTTATTTAGCTCCATTGGCATGGGTAGAAGAAGGACCATTAACATGCCTTTAAACAGGCAGAGTGACAATCAGATTTTTACTTTCTTTAGGACAGATAGCAGTCTTGTTAAATGTCCCTCTTTTGACCCTTTACAAATAGAAAATTATTTACTTCTAAATGAAAACCCACAGCACTTTTTATCTGTTTCAGGAGGGAAAACAGCACTGAGCTAACTGGCATTGAACTGTGTATGATGAATGTCCTACAAGCAGGTGTTCATGTGAGGAGCGCTAAATCATGCACAGCTGTTCTGCCACCGTAGTCTTTTACGTGTCAGAGCACCTGACCTTCCTTACAGCCTGCCTCATTTCAGCTCCATTGGGGAAAAAATAACAGGCTGCAGCCTTTGACTTTTCCTGGATGTCAGGCATACACAGAAGTCCTGTTACTTTCAGCCACATCATGTTTTCACACAGCATTGTGCTTTTTACCTTTGTGGCTCTCTGCAGATAACAAAGCTTTGCTGGGTCTTGTCTCTGTACCTGCAAGCAGGCTTCGCTTACACCCTGGACTCATTGGCAGCTCTGGCTATAAAATTTAGGACACCTGAGCTAGCTGTATTTAAAAGAATGATTGATCTATTTTAAATCAACCCTTTACACATTTCTAACTGAAGGGAGAAATTTTCCCTGGAGCTGTTAAACGCTTTAACCAGCAGCTTTGCATTCTGACAGTTTATCTGTAATGACAATTAATTGAAATTTATCCTGCAGTGACTCCCTTCCCATTAATGATATCATATCATGACATCAACTCAAGCCCAGCTCAAGGAGAGCAGCTCTTTCTATGTGTAGAATGCAGACCTGCCTGCCTTTCCAGGAGAGTGGTTAACATTCCTCCAGGAGCCACCTCCCGGCAGCTTTCTATCTTCAACTAATTTCTAAGTATAGCTATTCTAAGTGTAGAATGGTGCTTCAGAAGCAATGGCAGGTCCTTGGCTTGTACTCTTGAATAGCCCTAAGTACAGCTCATTTGTGTATTATATGGTCAAAAGGAATGGAATTGCCAACTTTTAAGCTGAAATTGGAGTTACTGCAGTTCTGTTACAGGTCAGAGTTACCTTCAGACAGCAGCTCCTCCAACCCACTGAACTCTTTGTTGGCAAGTGTAGCACTCCAGCAATCTTCAGATTTGGGCTGGCCGTTTGGGGTTATCTGCTCTGCTCCAAGCGCAGATGGATGGGGAAATGCTGTTTTGTCCTCCTTGCTCCATGCTTGGAGAAGTGCTGCTCTGAGAGGGAGCAAAACAATCACAGTCTTGGTGCACTAATGCACTTGTTGTTCATGTGCTAGGATGAAGATGTCTCTGCTGAAGCGAGACAGGGAGGAGATGAAGGAGCAAAGACTCCAGATCAACTGGAGCTGACCAAAGCTGTGAGTAAAACAGCGCCTGTAGTCGTCATGAGATGTGTACAAAACTCCATAAGATGAAGCCTAACTCTTACCCAGAGAGGGTAAGATGGCTTTCAGCTGGAAAACAGGAAGAATGTGCTTTGAAACACAGTTCTGGCCTTAGGACCAGGTGTCTGCATGGAGCTAATCCAAGAGGGAAGTGGGACTATGGCTTTACTCAGATAAGGAGAACTTCAGAGCCAGCCCTGAGCTTTTCAGGTGCTTGTGTGTGATAGGCAGGACAGGAAGGTGTCCTACAGTTTTGTGACCATTTCTTCTGAGCTTGGTTCAGTAAGATTGCTGTCGGTCACCCTTCCAGCTGCAGTTGTCTCTCTCTTCTGGCTGCCATGCAAACCTCTGGCATAGCTTTCTGTCCTACACATAGCTTTTGAAGGGAAGCTGCACATAATTCCCCCCACTCAGGTAGTGAAAACAGTTAACACCAGTACTGTTTTTTGTTTGTAGTTGTTGAACCTACAGGCACTGCTACTGAGTTTGTTCTTTACTCTCTTTTTGGACAGTATGCACTTCAACACACCTTGTCTTTCGTGCCATGTGGAACGCAGAGCTTGCATTTTTCTAGTGCTCCCATAGCTTAGATAAGAATTAATATTATAGCTAAATAATTCAAGAAAGCCCTCTGAAATACTATGGTAGGAAGCGAGATGACTGTTATGAATTCCAGTCTGAGCCGCCTTGGCTCCAAACGTTGTTCTTGTGGAGGCATCAGCTGCATCTGAGGTATCTGCAGGGAACTGAACATCAAAAAAACTGACTGCAAATCTGGTGATTTTTGTATGCTGTACATTGTATTATTTGTGGAGTTTTATTTACAATATTATTTTGTTTTTATTCCAAAGGAATTAGACAAGGAATTTACACGCACTCTGTCATCTGATAATCCCCATACTCCCAAGAATCTTGTCAGATACATCTTTAAAGTAAGTTCATCATTACCTGCAAAACCAGGATGAGACTTGGTGCAATTAACTAGTTTTGTGATTGCCTTTGATTTGTAGCCATATGTATGTCCTTTTAATATGACTTCATCTTGTTACATATTTACTCAACGGTTCCTAAAGGGTTTTGCAAGGGTAAAAGTTTAAAAGCATTGATGTATTTTTCAGAAATAGAATATAACCGTTACATATAACAGATCGGTTGTTTGAATTATTGGAGAGCTCAGAAATGTGCTTTGTGAAGTCACTGGCAAGAGCTCCCTATTCATGACAAGTAGGAGTGAGCAGGAGAGGGTGCATCAAATACTGCCAGGAAACATCCAAGAGTCACACCTCCACATTTATGTGTGCAGAGCATAAGCTGCTTTACCTTGGCACAGCCTCCTCCTGCTAGCATGTACAGCTAGCAACACACGCTGCCTCAGGGGGAGAGTGGAATGGTAGCTCTGCCTCCCACTTTTCTGTTGGAAGGGTTACACTCCCTGAAAGAAAGGACACAGGGAGAACTCTGCTGGCTTTAATGTGGTATTATCATCAACCTTTAGCAGGGAAGAAACAATCAGGTGAAGTATTCCCAAGCCTGTCTCATCTCTGTGCTACTGCAACTAGTTTGACAAACCATTACATGAGATAACCAGAGAAAACAGATCAGTCTGGTGGAAGCAACTAAGTATCTTCTATATGGAGTTGGTGTTTTCCATATTTATGGACTAGAAACAAGTGATCAGTGATCCATATCTACAAATCTTCCACAGTGACTAAAATGAAGTCTAAGCTATGTGGTGATCTCTGCAGAAAGCAGGCATATTTTAAAGCATCTGTGATCTGCGGTGGCTTCTGATTGCTTTTAGGTGCAGTTCAAAATCTTAACACACAGTTTGAGCCTAGGTGTGCCTGCACTTTACAGTGGTCCACAAGCAAGTGCCAGTCAAACTAGCTTCAGACAGCTGAACTAGTACAATGGTTATAAACCTGGCCATGGTGCTAAGAGCCTGTACTGTGTCCAGATCAGAGAGGCTCTTTATGAATGGTGCTGCTCTTGTGTAGGTTCAACAACTCATGTAGGGATCTCAGCATAACAGGACAGGAGAGTCTCAGCGAGTGCTGTGTGGTATCACCAGAGCTATATTTAAACTCATTTGCTGTGGTAGTGGTAGAGAACTAGAGGTTGCACATTCTTGTCTCTTTTCATTGTAATTTTAATGTATTGCTTTTATGGTCCTGAGATCTGAATAGCCAGAAGAAATTCAATGTAAGTATGAAAATAACAGACAAATACTTATTGAGAACAGCCTTGAGGAGAAGGACCTGGGGGTGTTGGTCAATTAAAAGCTCAACATGAGTCAGCAATGTGCACTTGCCACCCAAAATTCAGCCACATCCTGGGCTGCATCAAAAGAAGTGTGGCCAGCAGGTTGAAGGAGGTTATCCTGCCACTCTACTCTGCACTTGTGAGTAGTTCTGTGTCCAATTATGGAGCCCTCAACACAAGAGGGACATGGAGCTCTTGGAGCAAGTCCAGAGGAGGGCCACGAAAATGATCAGAGGGCAGGAGCAGCTCTGCTATGAAGACAGGCTGAGACAGTTGGGGCTGTTCAGCGTGGAGAACAGAAGGCTCCAGGGAGACCTCATAGGTACCTTCCAGTACCTGAATGGGGCATATAGGAAAGCTGGGGAGGGGCTTTTTACCAGGGTTTGTAGTGATAGAATAAGGGGTAATGGTTTTAAACTGAAAGAGGGGAGATATAGGATAGACATTAGAAAGAAATTCTTTACTGTGAAGGTAATGAGGCACTGGAACAGATTGCCCAGGGAAGATGTGGATGCCCCATCCCTGGAGGTCTTTAAGGCCAGGTTGGACAGGGCTTTGTGCAACCTGATCTAGTGGAAGGTATCCCTGCCCTTGCAAGGGGTTTGGAACTAGATGATCTTCTAGGTCCCTTTCAACCCAAACCATTCTATGATTCTAGGATTCTGTGAGTATGGATCTTCTTAGCTTTAGTAGTCTGGGCTACACAGTGTTTCTCATGTAAAATATTGTTTTTCCTTGCTAAATTTGTTGGGTTTTTTCTCTTCGCAGAGTGGAGCATACGAGCCAATAACTGATATTGATCAAATGGCCATTCATATATGTTTTAATGGAAACCTGATACCTAAAGATTCAGATGAAGGGAGACGACAGAGTATCAAGTCAAGCAGTGAAGCAGGTAAGTTTGTTATCTGAAAGCACAATCATTTCCAGCAACGCACTGGTACCACTTATTCAACAGGAAGGAATGATCATGCTTTATCACCATGGAGTTGAACAGCTCTGACTTTGACTTGCACCTTTCTCAAGGAGCAAAACTGGAAAAAACAAGCTGCCAAAGGTTTGCCACAATGCAGAAAACAGTGCATGCTTTTTTGAGGCATGTAAACACTTAACACTGAAATTTTCAGAACTATTTAGAATCCTTTAAAAAATCCTCCACCACCATTAGGTGGACATACATGTATGTCTAAATTCCTTAGCCTACTTTGAAAGTTTCAACCATGATTTAAAGCAGAAATATTTGGTGGCTGTGTGATCGTTCAGGAAATTATCATATACTTGACCAACTCTTACAGTCTTATCAGATCATCTCCTTCTGGACAATGTGAGATATAAAATATTGAGCCAGTTGGATCTTTGATGTGAGCCACTACCATCATTATTGGGTTTTCAGTCAAAAAGACACCTTAATCAGCAGCTGAAAAGCTCTGTTGCTAATACAGCATTCTAGGTCTGAATTTGCAGCAGGGAAAGATGTACTGTCTAGTGATTTTTTCATATTTCTGCTATTTGTGAAAGGAGAAGTTTTGTCACAAAATGTGTCCTTTCAAGTTGCTAACTGTCATGCATGATGACAACACTGGATAAGCTCCTGAAAACAGTTGTTACTTGCAAGTTCTTAGGGTCAGTGCCTCTTTTATTTTACACTTAATAAATGTACATGAGAATTTAAAGTCGGATGGAGTGCTGAATGGGATCTTCAATGCCATGAAAGCATGGGTTGTTATTGTTGGCAGTACTTTTTGCAGTATCCAAGCCAGCTAGTTTCAAGCAGCCTAATGCTAGCATAACTACACACTTAAGACTGTAATTAGAATGCAGACATTCACCATTCTCTAACAAGACTAGTATATTCATTTTTATCCATATAAACAAGAGCAAACCATATTATAAACCTATATGCCTTGAAAGTACACTTCATGGTTGTACATAATTGCAGCCATTTCAGAGGGCAGAAAGGTCCAGAGCTGAAGGGATATCCCAGAACAAAACTACTCAGATCTGAAGTGGATTTTAGAAATTTATTTCATTCCAGACAGAATTACTGCAGTTTAATTCTAGTAATAACATTGTCTCCTTTTGTGGTTTTGAGCAAACAATCTCCTTGCAAATTGGGGATTGGTTATGATGTGTAATAAGATAGCATTAGAAAAGGATTCATCTGTTATTAATGCCTCTGAAGATAGAAGGATCTGCAGAATATGGTATAATATGTTCTATTATACTTTTATTATCAGAAAAGGCTCCTGATGAGACATCTACAGTCACATCAGAAGAGGCAGGTGAAGAAAGTGCCAAAGATACCCAGGTAATTCTCCATAGCCAGCTGAGAGCTGTCCAGTTTATTTTTAATATGAAATTTTCAATTCCTTTATTACAAAATGGTCTTGCTGGGAAGCTCCTCTGATTGATTCTTTTATGCCTGACATGTTTCTACTGTGAGTGACTTCCACTAGATTCTACTGAACAGCTGGTGTCCTCCTGCCATTTTTGTCTTGGAGAAGCTATGTACAGAAATGGGGTCCCTCACTCCAGATCTGACTTTATCTAGATTTTATGTCAAGACAGAGTGTAATTTGTTTGGGTCTGGAATATTCTTGGACAGCCAGTGTATCCCTGAAAGAGAAATTGGTTAAAAAAAATGTTATCTTTAATATCTTTATCAACGATCTGGACAAGGGGATTGAGTGCAGCCTCAGTCTGTTTGTTGACACCAGGTTGGGCAGGAGTGTTGACGTGCCTGAGGGTAGGAAGGCTCTGCAGAGGGATCTGGACAGGCTGGGTCGATGGGCCAAGGCCAATTGTGTGAAGGTCAGCAAGGCCAAGTGCTGGGTCCTGCACTGGGGTCACAGCCACCCCAGGCAGCACTACAGGCTTGGGGAGGAGTGGCTGGAAAGCTGCCCAGAGGAAAAGGACCTGGGGGTGCTGGTGAACAGTGGCTGAACACGAGCCAGTGTGTGCCCAGGTGGCCAAGAAGGCCAACAGCATCCTGGCTTGTGTCAGGAATAGTGTGGCCAGCAGGACTAGGGCAGGGATTGTTCCCCTGTGCTCAAGGGGCATCTTGAATCCCACGTTTTGGGCCCCTCAGTACAGGAAGGACATGGAGGTGCTGGAGGGAGTACAGAGAAGGGCAACAAAGCTGATGAAGGGTTTGGAGAACAAGTCTTATGAGGAGCATCTGAGAGAACTTGGGTTGTTTAACCAGGGGAAAAGGAGGCTGAAGGAAGACCTCATCACTCTCTACAACTGCCTGAAAGGAGATTGTAGTCAAGGGAGATTGTAGCCAGGTGGAGTTCAGTCTCTCCTCACTTGTAACAAGCAATAGGACAAGAGGAAAAAGCCTCAAGTTGTGCCAGGGGAAGTTTAGACTAGATGTTAGAATAAACTTCTTTGCTATAAAGGGTTATTAAACAGTGGAACGGGCTGCCCAGGGAGATGGTTGAATCACCATCCCTGAAAGTGTTCACAAGCCATGTAGATGTGGTGCTGAGGGACATGGTTTAAGCACTGGGCTTGCTAGAGTTAGATTAAGGGTTTCTAGAGAATGATTATGTGATTCTGTGAAAGCAGCAGGCATAACTACCTGAAATAAGCAGTAGCTGGATTTGAAGGCAGTAGGCTAATCAGGAAGGGAATATGCTGTGAGAAGTTTGTTTTTATCCACACAGTGTCAGGTCCGGGCATCAAGTTCAGACTAGTTTCAGATAAAGCTCACTTTCTAGCAAGGAAATGAAAAAAACAGGGTAATGGAACTCTTAATAGTCTTTTGGTCCCTGAGTCTAGTTTATTAAAGGCATTAATGCTGTATTATCTCACTCATGTCAGGCTTTGTTTTAAATTATCTTCAGTTACTTTGGTTTTCCATATTCCTGTTTAGATACTTTTTCAGAATCTCCTTGATCGTGTTACCGGAAGTCTCCTGATTTCCATCTTAAATAGTGATTCTTCACTTACAGTCTCCTTCACTAGGCAGCAGAAATCTAGTGGTGTAAGAAGTTCTTTTGGAGAAGGAAAGAGATACCTGGTTCTTGAAAGGTGAAGTCACTGTTCTATTTTCTTTCAGGCTGCAGGAGAGGAGAAGGCAAGGGCAGCTGGGGCAGAAGGAGCAAAAAAAGAGAAGAAGCTTGAAAACCGGTTCACCTACACTGAAAGAGCTACACTGACCTTCAGAAACCCTCTGCAGGTAAGCTGACATTTCCTTCAGTGACTCGGAGGACCTTTCCTTTGGGAGGGCATGTATGTTATCTCTGTATATGTCATATCCTGTGATCTCAGGGAAGTTGTGGCTGCCCCCTCCCTGCAAGTTTTCAAGGGCAGGTTGAACGGGTCTGTGAGCAACCTGATCCAGTGGGAAGTGTCCCTGCCAATGCAGGTGGGTTGTATCTAGATGATCTTTAAAGTCCATTCTGACCCAAACCATTCTATGATTTCCATTATCTCTGTAGATATAATTAGGAGGAAAAAAATAGTGGTTTACTATGGTAATGTCCTGGTTAGAGCCAGGATGAAGACAATTTTTCTTTTACTATTTTTTTTTTCTTCAGTGAGCTTTCTTTTAACTAGCAACAGTGTGTTCTAGCTAAGACTGATAACAGTGGAATGTTTTTCTAACTACTGAGGCTTCAAGGTCGCACCTTCACTCCGCCGGCTCAGACACTATTGGGAGATCTGTGACCCCCCCGTAGGAGGCTGAGTTAGACAGACAGCAAAATTAGCCAGAGATATTCCATTCCATACATCTATGTAAGCTCAGAGGAAGGTCAGAGATGACAGAAGACAACTTCCTTCCTGCTTCTTTTTCCCTTCTCTTCCGTCCATGGCCAGTGTCCATGGAGGACTCCATCCATTCATCACCATCGACACCCAGGCTTGAGCTCTCCTGACCCTCATCACTCTGCACTTTCTCCAGCATCAGCTCTAGGATTTCTCAGGACTACCAGCTCAGGGGGGTGCTGTGGGAGTTGCTGGGGGTGGAGGGAGGCAAGAGGCTTTTGCAGATACCTGAACGTGTTTGTATATAATTGTATGTATTTTCTTATATCATTCATTAGTGTTTAATTAAAGCTGTGTAGTTTAGTTTCCAATCCAGCCAAGTCTCTCTCTTTTTCTCTCTCTCCTTCCCTACCTGGGGGGGAGGAGAAGGAGATTGAGAGCGTTGTTGTCGGGCCTGAGTCAAACAGTCACAGGTAAAACATTCGGGATAATGAAAATGGTGACAGAACAACTCTTGCCTGATGAACAGCTGACAAGAAGTTTTGGTGCTACTGTAAATCCTTAAAACTCTACTTGTGTATAACATTTATCATGTTTATTTTCTCATCTGAAAGAGTG